GATTAGTCCATTTCAGACCCCCAAACATACACGTACAAACGCACTTACATAAATACACTTACATAATTGGTCGCATTCGGAGGTAATCGTTATGCGGGGGTCCACTGTATTTATAGATGGAGTTATAAGAGAAGTGAATGTTCGGCAAGATACTATATGGGATTAAGAGATAAAGAATCTAACACAAAGTGGAAGTTGTTACAGTTGATCTTTGCTGATGATACTGTACTTTCAAACAAATACAAATTTTTATATTTCCCGCAGTATACAATTATGTGGTCGGCATGTAACAAAATACTGTCAGGAGCAAAATAAAGCCACTAGCATGTGGTGTACTTTTGGGCAGACTAATTCTAGGGCTTAAAGACTACTGAAGAACTAGAGATTGGCTATTAAGTAGCAGTTTGTAAATGTACCAAAAAAAAAGTGGTAATCAGATGAACAAAAGAACAATTTTAGGTATACATTAATACAAAAAAAAAGAGATGAAGATAAATGAACAAAAGTACAATTTAAGTATGTATTAATACTACTTTAAACAGATACAGTGATCTTCAGTTAAGTGGGACGTCTCGAGCAGTATCAAACTGACTTGACATCATCAGTTTTAGAGAAAAGTTATAAGAGATTGTGAAGACACAGCAACTTACTTTCAGTACAAATATAATGGAACAAAATAATTGTCTATGAGAGATTGAGGAAGACGAGTTGCAGAGGATGATGGACGAATCTATAATAATAATAATAATAATAATAATAATAATAATAATAATAATAATAATAAATTATTTACTACCAGTACATGATACAACTTATACAGACCATAGCTGACACCTATGACATACTACTGTATAGAAAGTTCCTTGTTATGCTGAGCACTTCCCACAACTTAGGTTAATTCTGCCCCAGGATGTGACCCACACCAGTCCACTAACACCCAGGATGCGACCCACACCAGTCCACTAACACCCAGGATGTGACCCACACCAGTCCACTAACACCCAGGATGCGACCCACACCAGTCCACTAACACCCAGGATGTGACCCACACCAGTCCACTAACACCCAGGATGTGACCCACACCAGTCACTAACACCCAGGATGCGACCCACACCAGTCCACTAACACCCAGGATGTGACCCACACCAGTCCACTAACACCCAGGATGTGACCCACACCAGTCCACTAACACCCAGGATGACCCACACCAGTCCACTAACACCCAGGATGTGACCCACACCAGTCCACTAACACCCAGGATGTGACCCACACCAGTCCACTAACACCCAGGATGTCGACCCACACCAGTCCACTAACACCCAGGATGTGACCCACACCAGTCCACTAACACCCAGGATGTGACCCACACCAGTCCACTAACACCCAGGATGTGACCCACAACCAGTCCACCTAAACCCAGGATGTGACCCACACCAGTCCACTACACCAGATGCACCCACACCAGGCCCTACCCAGATGTGACCACACCAGTCCACTAACACCCAGGATGGCACCCCACACCAGTCCACTAACACCCAGGATGTGACCCACACCAGTCCACTTAACACCCAGGATGTGACCACACACCAGTCCACTAACACCCAGGATGTGACCCACACCAGTCCACTAACACCCAGGATGTGACCCACACCAGTCCACTAACACCCAGGATGTGACCCACACCAGTCCACTAACACCCAGGATGTGACCCACACCAGTCCACTAACACCCAGGATGTGACCCACCACAGTCCACTAACACCCAGGATGCCACCACACCAGTCCACTACACCCGGATGTGACCCACACCGTCCACTAACACCAGGATGTGACCCACACCAGTCCACTAACACCCAGGATGTGACCCACACCAGTCCACTAACACCCAGGATGTGACCCACACAGTCCACTAACACCCAGGATGTGACCCCAACCAGTCCACTAACACCCAGGATGTGACCCACACCAGTCCACTAACACCCAGGATGTGACCCACACCAGTCCACTAACACCCAGGATGTGACCCACACCAGTCCACTAACACCCAGGATGTGACCCACACCAGTCCACTAACACCCAGGATTGTGACCCACACCAGTCCACTAACACCCAGGATGTGACCCACACCAGTCCACTAACACCCAGGATGTGACCCACACCAGTCCACTAACACCCAGGATGTGACCCACACCAGTCCACTAACACCCAGGTACCTACTTGCTGCTAGGTGAACACTAACAGACGGTGTCAGTGAAATAAAAGACTGGATATCAGACTGGAGGGAGGAAGTGAACGTATTCGAATACAGTGGACCCCCGGTTAACGATATTTTTTCATTCCAGAAGTATGTTCAGGTGCCAGTACTGACCGAATTTGTTCCCAAAAGGAATATTGTGAAGTAGATTAGTCCATTTCAGACTCCCAAACATACACATACAAACGCACTTACATAAATACACTTACATAACTGGTCGCATTGGGAGGTGATCGTTAAGCGGGGGTCCACTGTATTTGGGATTTGTCAGTGGATGATGGGTCTACGAGAGACCAGGTGAACCATACAGCAGAACAGGGGAAAGGTGAGTGGTTCACTGAGGAGTCTGTGGAGATGGATATAGGTGTGATGCATGGGTTCAATAAAGGGTTCAAGGAAGGTTCAAGGAAGCCATTCAAGAAAGGGTCAAGGAAGGTTCAACGAAGGTTCAAGGGACAAGGAAGGTTCAAAGAAGGTTCAAGGCAGGTTCAAAGAAGGTTTAAAGAAGGTTTATGGAAAGGTCAAGCAAAGTTCAAAGACAGTTCACTAAATGCTTATCAAAAATTTAATAAAATTTCAATCAGCTCCAGCACCATGGATCAAAGACCTAGCAAGGTTCAACTCAAGGTTTAATATAGCCCCATCAATGAGGTTCAAGAACCCAGCAAGGTTCAACTCAGCATCATGGATCAAGAACCCAGCAAGGTTCAATGCAGCTCCAGCACCGAGGATCAAGAACCCAGCAAGGTTCAACTCAGCACCATGGATCAAGAACCCAGCAAGGTTCAACTCAGCACCATGGATCAAGAACCCAGCAAGGTTCAACTCAGCACCATGGATCAAGAACCCAGCAAGGTTCAACGCAGCTCCAGCACTGAGGATCAAGAACCCAGCAAGGTTCAACACAGCATCATGGATCAAGAACCCAGCAAGGTTCAACACAGCACCATGGATCAAGAACCCAGCAAGGTTCAACACAGCTCCAGCACCGAGGATCAAGAACCCAGCAAGGTTCAACACAGCTCCAGCACCGAGGATCAAGAACCCAGGAAGGTTCAACTCAGCACCATGGATCAAGAACCCAGCAAGGTTCAACTCAGCACCATGGATCAAGAACCCAGGAAGGTTCAACTCAGCACCATGGATCAAGAACCCAGCAAGGTTCAACTCAGCACCATGGATCAAGAACCCAGCAAGGTTCAACTCAGCACCAGGATCAAGAACCCAGGAAGGTTCAACTCAGCCACCATGGATCAAGAACCTGGGAAGGTTCAACTCAGCACCATGGATCAAGAACCCGGGAAGGTTCAACTCAGCACCATGGATCAAGAACCCAGCAAGGTTCAACTCAGCACCATGGATCAAGAACCCAGCAAGGTTCAACTCAGCACCGAGGATCAAGAACCCAGCAAGGTTCAACACAGCTCCAGCACCAAGGATCAAGAACCCAGCAAGGTTCAACTCAGCACCATGGATCAAGAACCCAGCAGGGTTCAACACAGCTCCAGCACCAAGGATCAAGAACCCAGCAAGGTTCAACTCAGCACCATGGATCAAGAACCCAGCAGGGTTTCAAACACAGCTCCAGCACCAAGGATCAAGAACCCAGCAAGGTTCAACTCAGCACCATGGATCAAGAACCCAGCAAGGTTCAACTCAGCACCGAGGATCAAGAACCCAGCAAGGTTCAACACAGCTCCAGCACCAAGGATCAAGAACCCAGCAAGGTTCAACTCAGCACCGAGGATCAAGAACCCAGCAAGGTTCAACACAGCTCCAGCACCAAGGATCAAGAACCCAGCAAGGTTCAACACAGCACCATGGATCAAGAACCCAGCAAGGTTCAACACAGCTCCAGCACCGAGGATCAAGAACCACGCAAGGTTCACACAGCTCAGCACGAGGATCAAGAACCCAGGAAGGTTCAACTCAGCACCGAGGATCAAGAACCCACCAAGGTTCAACACAGCTCCAGCACCAAGGATCAAGAACCCAGCAAGGTTCAACACAGCTCCAGCACCAAGGATCAAGAACCCAGCAAGGTTCAACACAGCTCCAGCACCGAGGATCAAGAACCCAGGAAGGTTCAACCGCTCCAGCACCGAGGATCAAGAACCAGCAAGGTTCAACACAGCGCTCCAGCACCGAGGATCAAGAACCCAGCAAGGTTCAACACAGCTCCAGCACCGAGGATCAAGAACCCAGCAAGTTCAACACAGCCCGAGGATCAAGAACCACAAGTCACACAGCTCCGCACAGATCAAGAACCAGCAGGTTCAACACAGCTCCAGCACCGAGGATCAAGAACCCAGCAAGGTTCAACACAGCTCCAGCACCGAGGATCAAGAACCCAGGAAGGTTCAACTCAGCACCGAGGATCAAGAACCCACCAAGGTTCAACACAGCTCCAGCACCAAGGATCAAGAACCCAGCAAGGTTCAACACAGCTCCAGCACCGAGGATCAAGAACCCAGCAAGGTTCAACACAGCTCCAGCACCGAGGATCAAGAACCCAGCAAGGTTCAACACAGCTCCAGCACCGAGGATCAAGAACCCGGGAAGGTTCAACTCAGCACCGAGGATCAAGAACCCACAAAGGTTCAACACAGCTCCAGCACCAAGGATCAAGAACCCAGCAAGGTTCAACACAGCTCCAGCACCAAGGATCAAGAACCCAGCAAGGTTCAACACAGCTCCAGCACCGAGGATCAAGAACCCAGGAAGGTTCAACTAGTTATTAAACTCACCATCATTAAGACCAGTAACGTGGGCACAAAGTCTCTTCAACAGGGTGTTAGAAGCGTCCATCATGGCTGCTAACTACCCAATTAACTCTCTTAATTACCACAATAAACACTAATAACTCTCCCGCCAGACTCCTCAACTGCCGCCATTTATGCTCTGTTTGTTTATATCCGCGAGGAGACCTGCTATTGGTCGCTCGGGAGAGACACAGCCAATCACGGCTACTCTTTGGTTTCGCATTGTTTTGGTCAGGTTTGAAAGCAGCGATACTATTGGGTGCCCCAGAGACGACAGCCAATCAAGAGGTAGGATGACACTTGCAGCATCTGCTAGATATTGATGAATTTTTTAAAAATATTTTTATAATAATAAATATAATAATCATAATGATATAAATGAATAGTTTAAATGACTCATTACTTAGTTTTTGTACGTTATTTAAAATTATGTTGAACAATGCTGAAACTACCTTAAAATAAAATTACATTGCTATTATTATTATTATTATTTTATTATTATTATAATACTTCTTCATTCTCTATCTTCCATCTCTTCTCAGTCATGATAGAAGGTAGTCAGTACCTCAGTCATGATAGCCCCTCAAGGAAGGTTCCTTGATGTTGGTGAGGGGCTCTTGATTTAGGGAATTGGATCTGTGCTCCAGTTCCCTGAATTAAGCCTGAATGCCTTCCACATCCCCCCCCCCTGGGCGCTGTATAATCCTCCGGGTTTAGCGCTTCCCCTTGATTATAATAATAATAATAAATAATCAGTCATGATAGAAGGTAGTCAGTACCACAGTCATGATAGAAGGTAGTCAGTACCTCAGTCATGATAGAAGGTAGTCAGTACCTCAGTCATGATAGAAGGTAGTCAGTACCTCGTCATGATAGAAGGTAGTCAGTACCACAGTCATGATAGAAGGTAGTCAGTACCTCAGTCATGATAGAAGGTAGTCAGTACCTCAGTCATGATAAGAAGTGTAGTCAGTACCTCAGTCATGATAGAAGGTAGTCATACCTCAGTCATGATAGAAGGTAGTCAGTACCTCAGTCATGATAGAAGGTAGTCAGTACCTCAGTCATGATAGAAGGTAGTCAGTACCTCAGTCATGATAGAAGGTAGTCAGTACCTCAGTCATGATAGAAGGTAGTCAGTCCTCAGTCATGATAGAAGGTAGTTAAGTACCACAGTCATGATAGAAGGTAGTAGTACCACAGTCATGATGAGGTATCAGTCCTCGTAGATGAAGTGCTACCAGTCATGATAGAAGGTAGTCAGTACCTCAGTCATGATAGAAGGTAGTCAGTACCACAGTCATGATAGAAGGTAGTCAGTAACCTCAGTCAATATAGAGGTAGTCAGTACCACAGTCATGATAGAAGGTAGTCAGTACCTCAGTCATGATAGAAGGTAGTCAGTACCTCAGTCATGATAGAAGGTAGTCAGTACCTCAGTCATGATAGAAGGTAGTCAGTACCTCAGTCATGATAGAAGGTAGTCAGTACCACAGTCATGATAGAAGGTAGTCAGTACCAGTCATGATAGAAGGTAGTCAGTACCACAGTCATGATAGAAGGTAGTCAGTACCACAGTCATGATAGAAGGTAGTCAGTACCAGTCATGATAGAAGGTAGTCAGTACCTCAGTCATGATAGAAGGTAGTCAGTACCTCAGTCATGATAGAAGGTAGTCAGTACCACAGTCATGATAGAAGGTAGTCAGTACCTCAGTCATGATAGAAGGTAGTCAGTACCACAGTCATGATAGAAGGTAGTCAGTACCACAGTCATGATAGAAGGTAGTCAGTACCTCAGTCATGATAGAAGGTAGTCAGTACCTCAGTCATGATAGAAGGTAGTCCAGTACCTCAGTCATGATAGAAGGTAGTCAGTACCTCAGTCATGATAGAAGGTAGTCAGTACCTCAGTCATGATAGAAGGTAGTCAGTACCACAGTCATGATAGAAGGTAGTCAGTACCTCAGTCATGATAGAAGGTAGTCAGTACCTCAGTCATGATAGAAGGTAGTCAGTACCTCAGTCATGATAGTCAGTACCTCAGTCATGATAGAAGGTAGTCAGTACCTCAGTCATGATAGAAGGTAGTCAGTACCTCAGTCATGATAGAAGGTAGTCAGTACCTCAGTCATGTATAGAAGGTAGTCAGTACCTCAGTCATGATAGAAGGTAGTCAGTACCTCAGTCATGATAGAAGGTAGTCAGTACCTCATCATGATAGAAGGTAGTCAGTACCTCAGTCATGATAGAAGGTAGTCAGTACCTCAGTCATGATAGAAGGTAGTCAGTACCTCAGTCATGATAGAAGGTAGTCAGTACCTCAGTCATGATAGAAGGTAGTCAGTACCTCAGTCATGATAGAAGGTAGTCAGTACCTCAGTCATGATAGAAGGTAGTCAGTACCTCAGTCATGATAGAAGGTAGTCAGTACCTCAGTCATGATAGAAGGTAGTCAGTACCTCAGTCATGATAGAAGGTAGTCAGTACCTCAGTCATGATAGAAGGTAGTCAGTACCAGTCATGAAGTAAGGTAGTCAGTACCTCAGTCATGATAGAAGGTAGTCAGTACCTCAGTCATGATAGAAGGTAGTCAGTACCTCAGTCATGATAGAAGGTAGTCAGTACCTCAGTCATGATAGAAGGTAGTCAGTACCTCAGTCATGATAGAAGGTAGTCAGTACCTCAGTCATGATAGAAGGTATCAGTACCTCAGTCATGATAGAAGGTAGTCAGTACCTCAGTCATGATAGAAGTAGTCAGTACCTCAGTCATGATAGAAGGTAGTCAGTACCTCAGTCATGATAGAAGGTAGTCAGTACCTCAGTCATGATAGAAGGTAGTCAGTACCTACAGTCATGATAGAAGGTAGTCAGTACCTCAGTCATGATAGAAGGTAGTCAGTACCTCAGTCATGATAGAAGGTAGTCAGTACCTCAGTCATGATAGAAGGTAGTCAGTACCTCAGTCATGATAGAAGGTAGTCAGTACCACGTCATGATAGAAGGTAGTCAGTACCTCAGTCATGATAGAAGGTAGTCAGTACCTCAGTCATGATAGAAGGTAGTCAGTACCTCAGTCATGATAGAAGGTAGTCAGTACCTCAGTCATGATAGAAGGTAGTCAGTACCTCAGTCATGATAGAAGGTAGTCAGTACTAGTCATGATAGAAGTAGTCAGTACCTCAGTCATGATAGAAGGTAGTCAGTACCTGCAGTCATGATAGAAGGTAGTCAGTACCTCAGTCATGATAGAAGGTAGTCAGTACCTCAGTCATGATAGAAGGTAGTCAGTACCTCAGTCATGATAGAAGGTAGTCAGTACCACAGTCATGATAGAAGGTAGTCAGTACCTCAGTCATGATAGAAGGTAGTCAGTACCACAGTCATGATAGAAGGTAGTCAGTGAATCGGTCTTCACATGATAACGGAATCCAACCACTGCCAATATTTGTTGTTTTTGTAGTTATGGTAATACAAGGTAGTGAGGTTAATAATAGGCTTAGAATTGAGCTTATGTTTATTGGGGCAAAAATGCTACATAGTGAGTTTGGTGAGTGTTATGTCTACACCAAGGCCTTAGGCCTAGTGAGTTGCAAGGACATCTGATTTGTACTGTGGGTGTCCAGATAATGAGGGTTTGATGCACAAGTTCTAGAGGCAAGTTGCAAAATATGAAGGACTGAAGAGGGGGTTTACACTGATACAAGGTAATCAGTCCCTCAGTCATGAAAGAAGGCAGTCAGTACCTCAATCATGATGGAAGGTAGTCAGTACCTCAGTCATGATAGAAGGTAGTCAGTCCCTCAGTCATGAAAGAAGGCAGTCAGTACCTCAGTCATGATGGAAGGTAGTCAGTACCTCAGTCATGATGGAAGGTAGTCAGTACCTCAGTCATGATGGAAGGTAGTCAGTCCCTCAGTCATGAAAGAAGGCAGTCAGTACCTCAGTCATGATGGAAGGTAGTCAGTACCTCAGTCATGATGGAAGGTAGTCAGTACCTCAGTCATGATGGAAGGTAGTCAGTACCTCAGTCATGATGGAAGGTAGTCAGTACCTCAGTCATGATAGAAGGTAGTCAGTACCTCAGTTATGATAGAAGGTAGTCAGTACCTCAGTCATGATAGAAGGTAGTCAGTACCTCAGTTATGATAGAAGGTAGTCAGTACCTCAGTCATGATGGAAGGTAGTCAGTACCTCAGTCATGATGGAAGGTAGTCAGTACCTCAGTCATGATAGGAAGGTAGTCAGTACCTCAGTCCATGATAGGAAGGTAGTCAGTACCTCAGTCATGATAGAAGGTAGTCAGTACCTCAGTCATGATAGAAGGTAGTCAGTACCTCAGTCATGATGGAAGGTAGTCAGTACCTCAGACACGATGGAAGGTAGTCAGTACCTCAGTCATGAGAGAAGGCAGTCAGTACCTCAGTCATGATAGAAGGTAGTCAGTACCTCAGTCATGATGGAAGGTAGTCAGTACCTCAGTCTATGAAAGAGAGAGTAGTATCAAGTACCCTCAGTCATGATAGAAGGTAGTCAGTCCCTCAGTCATGATGGAAGGTAGTCAGTACCTCAGTCATGATGGAAGGCAGTCAGTACCTCAGTCATGACAGAAGGTAGTCAGTACCTCAGTCATGATGGAAGGTAGTCAGTACCTCATCATGATGGAAGGAGTCGTACCCAGTCATGATAGAGGTAGTCAGTACCTCAGTATAGATAGAAGGTAGTCAGTACCTCAGTCATGATAGAAGGTAGTCATGTCCTCAGTCATGATGAGAAGGTAGTCAGTCCCTCAGTTATGATAGAAGGTAGTCAGTGCCTCAGTCATGATAGAAAGTAGTCAGTACCTCAGTCATGATAGAAGGTAGTCAGTCCCTCAGTTATGATAGAAGGTAGTCAGTGCCTCAGTCATGATGGAAGTAGTCAGTCCTCAGTCATGATAGATGTGTCAGTACCTCAGTCATGATGAAGGTAGTCAGTCCCAGTATGATAGAAGGTAGTCAGACCTCAGATCAGATGAAGGTAGTCAGTACCTCATTCATGATAGAAGGTAGTCAGTACCTCAGTCATGATAGAAGGTAGTCAGTACCTCAGTCATGATAGAAGGTAGTCAGTACCTCAGTCATGATAGAAGTAGTCAGTACCTCAAGTCATGATAGAAGTATCAGTTCTCAGTTATGATAGAAGGTAGTCAGTACCTCAGTCATGATAGAAGGTAGTCAGTCCCTCAGTCATAGATAGAATGGTAGTCAGTACCTCATCATGATAGAAGGTAGTCAGTACCTCAGTCATGCTAGAAGGTAGTACGTACCTCAGTCATGATAGAAAGGTAGTCAGTACCTCAGTCATGATAGAAGGTAGTCAGTACCTCAGTCAGATAGAAGGTAGTCAGTCTCATATGATAGAAGGTAGTCAGTACCTCAGTCATGACAGAAGGTAGTCAGTCCTCAGTCATGATAGAAGGTAGTCAGTACCATCAGTCATGATAGAAGGTAGTCAGTACCTCAGTCCATGATAGAAGGTAGTCAGTACCTCAGTCATGATAGAAGGTAGTCAGTAACCTCAGTCATGATGAAGGTAGTCAGTACCTCAGTCATGATAGAAGGTAGTCAGTACCTCAGATCATGATGAAGGTAGTCAGTACCTCCAGTCATGACAGAAGGTAGTCAGTACCTCAGTCATGATAGAAGGTAGTCAGTACTACAGTCATGATAGAAGGTAGTCAGTACCTCAGTCATGATAGAAGGTAGTCAGTACCTCAGTCATGATAGAAGGTAGTCAGTACCTCAGTCATGATCAGAAGTGTAGTCAGTACCTCAGTCATGATGAAGGTAGTCAGTGCCTCAGTCATGATAGAAGTAGTCAGTACCTCCAGTCATGATAGAAGGTAGTCAGTACCTCAGTCATGATAGAAGTAGTCAGTACCTCAGACAGATAGAAGGTAGTCAGTACCTCAGTCATGATAGAAGGTAGTCAGTACCTCAGTCATGATAGAAGGTAGTCAGTACCTCAGTCTGACAGAAGTTAATCAGTACCTCAGTCATGATGAAGGAGTCAGTGATACCTTCAGTCATTCATAGAAGGTAGTCAGTACCTCAGTTATGAAGAGAAGTAGTCAGTACCAGACAGTCATGATAGAAAGTATCATACCTCGAGTCATGAAAGAAGAGTCATGTACCTCAGTCATTATAGAAGGAGTCAGTACCTCAGTCAATGATAAAGTAGTCAGTACCAGTCTGAGAAGAGATCAGACTCAGTCAGAAAGAAGGAGTGTCCTCGATGAAGAAAAAAGTACAGCTCAGTTTGGAATAGAATTAATAGTTACCTCGTCTTATTAGAAGTTATAGTACTAGATGATAGAAATATCAGTACCTTGTATTTGAATAGAACGAGTCATACGATCTGATAGCGAAATATACAGTAACTGCGTCATAAGATGGTATCAGTAACAGTCATGTAGAATAGTCTGTACCTAGTATGATAGTAGGTATAATACTATCATATAGAGTTTATCAGACGCTCGTTATGATGAATTTTACTAGTCGTACTATAGAGGAATTAGTCAAGTCTGTCGTATATACAGTATATTAAAGTGCTTATATAGACAAGTTACTATTCATGATAAGCGTTTGGTAGTAACTAGTCGTAGAGGTAGTCAGTATCAGTCAGTGTGAGTAATCATCCCTCAGTTATAAAGAAGTTAGCATCTCAGTCATATAGAAAGGTGTCACCCCAGTTAGATGAGGTATCGTCTCGTCTTGTTGGAGATGTCAGCGTACCTCGTGGCCATGATAAATAGCGACTGTCATGGAATCAGAATACATACTTCTGATAGGTTTAGCTTATTCGTGATGAAGTATCAGCTCACATTGAGGCTAGACTTATAAGTAGATCATGGTACCTATTATGAGGATCGCAGCCCACATCTATAGCGAATACAGAGTTAGATGGAGTAAATACTCAGCACTGAAGTATTTACCTAGTAGTAACTGTATATACCACAAATGACTAAAGAGAACTATCAATAATAGTATATCTGATAGTTAGTCAGTATTCATATATAGATAGTGCTGTATATAGGACGATATGATTTCTAATATATCATTAGCTTATGAAATGATGAAATCACTAAGTTGTGGCGACTGTGCCATAATTAGGTCGATGGTAAATGATGCCAAACAAGTCGCCTACAATGTTGTGCGAACAAATGGAATTGCCCACAAGACGTACGAATAAACCCTCAACTCAATGCCCTATTTCAAATACAAGTTCCTAGTCGCCGACATACAAACGTCGACCCGGAACGATCTTGTTCCGGCAGAGTTAACTGATGTCCAAGAATAAGTGACAGTGATAGCATTAGACCCCAAGAGATACAACAAACTCAGCTGTCTAAATACATAAAAATTTAATTGATATCCTGTTTAGTACTATATTTAAGAAATCATTTGTTTATCTTTGGCTAATTCTAAGAACCGATCATTTGATCGACTATTGCCAATCATTCAGTCAAACTTTTGTTTCATATGATCAAACAGTCTCCATGATGCCTTTATAGGGTCCAAAACATATAGTCATCTGCAACTTAATTAATACATTGGTTGTTATCACTGACTTATAACTTTATACTTAACTGATTCAAAATTTAATGAATTTTATTACAATTTTAATAAAGATTTTGTTATAGACTGATTATTTAATATTTATTTGTTAGATAATATAACATTCATAATGTGATTACTAGGGCATTGACAGTCTTGGTACATGCAAAGTACTCCGATCCGGTTAAATCGACTTCACAATGCTCAATTTCAATGGATACTTATCGTGACCATTAATCCTCTCCGAGTCGTATATTATTTCCCTGATAGATCCGGACAGAATGATCCAATTGACCCATTGGACAATAACTGCACCAGTCGGAAATCAAAAAACATTGGACGACTTTTAACTTTGTATTCCATTTTGCACTCGGCAGATTTGTATCACTTTGCATTTGGTTCCCTTTTAAAATTTAAAAATATATCAAAATTTTAAACCCCCAACCCCAAAACGGGGATCCACTCCACAAATAAAAAAACTTTTCAAAAAAAATTTTTAATTTTTGTTTAAATTTGTTTTTGGGGGATTATTTGAAAACATTTTTTTAAAACTGAAACAAAGATATTTACACCCGATTTTAAACTTTTCCCCCTTTAAAAGTCAAAATTTTAAAATTTTAAAAAAAATTTAAAGTGCAATTTCATTGGGCGATAACAATCGAATTTGGGCCCCAATTTGAGCCCTATTTTGGCCAATTTCAATGTTCCAGTCGACCAAATTCACAACTACAGTGGACCCCCGGTTAACGATATTTTTTCACTCCAGAAGTTGTTCACTCTGAATTTGTTCCCATAAGAAATATTGTGAAGTAGATTAGTCCATTTCAGACCCCCAAACATACACGTACAAACTCACTTACATAAATACACTTACATAATTGGTCACATTCGGAGGTAATCGTTATGCGGGGGTCCACTGTATTTCGCTAGAATTCCATTTGTTCTATCGACTGAATACAAGAAACCGCTCATTTACCGATTTCAACTTCCCAATAACATGGTCAGAAATTCGAAATTTGGTCAATTTCACACAAATTTCAAAAGATGCCAATTTCAAAATAGGGTCCAGAATAAACAATACAGACATTCCTGGCACTAAAATAACATTTTCTCTGTTCATCAGTCATGTCTCCAGGTCCCTCTTATATTACTCTTGCTTTCCATTTTGAATTTTTATTCACACAAAAAATAGAAGATTTACTGTTATGCAGACTACTGCATTATTGTAATAATTGTATAAATAATGTCAACCCATTCATAACTGTGCATTAAACTGGCCAATTGGACATGTACTGGACGGTGACATCATATGTTTACTCCTGATCATCGGCAAAAATCGAACATTTCCGCAACTTTGAACTCAATTTCAAGATACTTTCATCGTGAAACCAATCAAAATCATCTCTATTTCTATAATATATTTTCCATTCTATCAAATGAGACCAAGAAAATGAGAATACAACAATAAATACCATATGAAAATGCACCTCAAAGTCGGTGTTTTAAACCAAAAACACGGCTGGAGTTTTTTTTTTCTCATTTTGCACTGCGTGTTTCAGGATTTTTTTATACAGTGCACACTGACCATGCAGACACATTCTCTCACATTTAGATCAACCAGCTTTCTCCAGCTAGATCTGAAGCCGCTAGAACTTTGGCATATTAATACAGCACCAACACTGTCTTGTAAGCCATACTAATATGACACCAACCTTGAAAGGGTTAATATGTTAGATATTCTTGAATATTCTTGTTGTAAGTGGTAAGTAAGAAGGTTGTTACTCACCAACTTGCTTATTGGCCGGCACAAAGGGCTCGTTCTCATCCAGGTCATTCAGGGAGAGTCTGGTGGCTCGACCACCACTGAGTGCCGACCCTGGCACGCTGCGACCACTGCGAGCACTGGCTCTGTTATGATAACATTATTATTATTACCCTGGCACGCTGCGACCACTGCCAGCACTGGCTCTGTTATGATAACATTATTATTATTACCCTGGCATGTTGCAACCACTGGCTCTGTGATGATAACATTAACACCCCCCCACTCTTCATAGATCTAAACTTACTCCCTGTTCAGAACATCCACACTTACTACTGTGCAATCTACATCTACAGGACCTTAAATTCCAATATTAACCCTGACCTAAAATGCTTTCTTGATAGTTGTGACAGAACCCACAGGCATAACACCAGACACAAACATCTCTATGACATTCCCTGTGTCCGACTAAACCTTTACAAAAATTCAATGTATGTCAAAAGCCCTAAAATCTGGAACACCTTACCTGAAAACTCTAGAACTGCAGACACATTCATCACCTTCAAAACTACCGTTAGAAAACATCTTATCTCCCTGATACACCCCGTCAACTAATTACATGAAAACCACCTGGTGGTCCACACTTACCCTCACTCGCTCACCCATTTGACTATAAACACAGAAATACGAATCTTAATCTTAAAATAATGAATCCTAAGTAGTCATAAGCTTGCCTGTGATACTCCAATATAGAAACTATGTATTGTGCCAAAACAAAACCATTCACATTGCTAAACTCACAAACTATGATTTAGTCACTTAGCCTTAATTCCAACTTACTCCATAATTTGAAATAATTTAGAGTTAAGAATTAATCTAAGTCTCCTCGAAATGCCTAGCCATGCTAGGTGTCCTAGTGGCCCTCTCTGTAATTAGTATTTCATAACATGTAAACCACACAATACCCAAAACCTGTAAACCCTGCATTGTAATCCTTATAGAGAATAAACGTGATTGATTGAATGATTGATTATGATTACCCAGGAACACTATAACCACTAATACTCCCATCAGTCACACTGTAATAAACATTATTAACCAGAAACACTGTAATCAATACTACCACCACTCACACTAATAAATATTATTATTATTAAAATAAGAGAAAGGTCCAGCCAAGGCTTGATCAGTCTGAACAATGAGTTCCATGAAGTAGTCCACTACAGGAAGTTATAATTAGAGGTAATATAATGCAATGGGTTCCAGTGCTGGTAATACACAATGTTTTCATACAAGTTTGTTTTTATCTATTTTTTAAGGTAATATAACAGCAGAGGACAAGATAATGTATTTTTGATTCAAGTTTATTACAGAGTAATAGAGTAATTATAGAAAGTTTAAAAAAAATATTAAAAAGAATGAGTGTCATTCCAGATGATATGAGGAAAGCATCTCTACTGTGGTATAAATTATTTTGGAAGCATAGGCTGAGCAGCCTCCTTTCTTTAACCCGTAAACGGTCCAAACGTATATATACGTTTTTTCAACATTTGAAAGTATGTAAAAAAAGTAGATCTTCTTTTTGTTTTTTTACATTTGAAAATGTGTAAAAAAACTTGGATCTACTCTTTTTTTTTTTTGTTATATTTGAAAATATGTAAAAAAAACGTAGATCTACTTTTGTAGCACTACACATGTGAACGTAGATCTGCTTGGACCGTTTACGGGTTAAATGATCATACATACCGGTACCTGTAATTGTTGTACATGATGGTAGGATAGGTTGTGTTCTTTTCTGTCTCATAAAAATGCAGGATACCAGGTATGTCTTCCTACTTCTACTTACACTTAGGTCACACTATGCATGCATGTACAAGCATATATATACACACACATCTGGGTTTTCTTCTATTTTCTTAACCCTTTGAAGGTCGAGACCCGTTTGCAAACTTGCTCACAGGGTAGAAGAATCTAATAAAGGAAAAAATATTTTTTCTTATGAAATGATAAGAGAATCTTTTTCTGAAGGTTTACCTGGAGAGAGTTCCGGGGGTCAACGCCCCCGCTGCCCGGTCTGTGACCAGGCCTCCTGGTGGATCAGAGCCTAATCAACCAGGCTGTTACTGCTGGCTGCGCGCAAACCAACGTACGAGCCACAGCCCGGCTGGTCAGGAACCGACTTTAGGTGCTTGTCCAGTGCCAGCTTGAAGACTGCCAGGGGTCTGTTGGTAATCCCCCTTATGTATGCTGGGAGGCAGTTGAACAGTCTCGGGCCCCTGACACTTATTGTATGGTCTTTTAACGTGCTAGTGACACCCCTGCTTTTCATTGGGGGATGTTGCATCGTCTGCCAAGTCTTTTGCTTTCGTTGTGAGTGATTTTCGTGTGCAAGTTTGGTACTAGTCCCTCTAGGATTTTCCAGGTGTATATAATCATGTATCTCTCCCGCCTGCGTTCCAGGGAATACAGGTTCAGGAACCTCAAGCGCTCCCAGTAATTGAGGTGTTTTATCTCCGTTATGCGCGCCGTGAAGGTTCTCTGTACATTTTCTAGGTCAGCAATTTCACCTGCCTTGAAAGGTGCTGTTAGTGTGCAGCAATATTCCAGCCTAGATAGAACAAGTGACCTGAAGAGTGTCATCATGGGCTTGGCCTCCCTAGTTTTGAAGGTTCTCATTATCCATCCTGTCATTTTTCTAGCAGATGCGACTGATACAATGTTATGGTCCTTGAAGGTGAGATCCTCCGACATGATCACTCCCTGTGGTATTACTAGTTTGTAATATGTAATGTAATGAAACCAAAAGCATGAAATTTGATGGAAAACTTACGGAATTACACTGTCATAAAGTTAGCAGTCTCAACGATATTTATGCACTGATTTTGTCCACTTTGAGCCCTATTTTGGGTCAATTCCTTTGTTCCAGTTGACTATATTCATAGCTATTTTGCTAACACTCTTTTTGTTCTACTGAGTGAGTAGAAGACACTGCCCATTTACCCATTTCAACTACCCAATAAAGTGATCAGAAATTACTAATTTGGCCAATTTCACACAAAATTTAAGAAAGGCCAATTTCAAAATAGGGTCCAGAATAAATAATGCAGACATTCCTAGCACTAAAATAACATTTTATATGTTTATTAGTCACATCTCCGGGCCCCTCTTATATTATGCTTCTATTTTGAATTTTTATTCACACAAAAAATAGACTTACTGTTATTCAGACTAATGCATAATGGTAATAATTGTATAAATAATGTCAGTGCATTCATGAATGCATATTAGACCCACCAGTTAATGTGTATTGGACACATGATATGCTTTGTTTATGCTTGAACAATGGGAAAAATTAAACATTTCTGCTACTTTGAGCTCAATTTCAAGCTACTTTTATTCTGTAAACCAATCAAAATGACAACTATTTCTGTAATATATCTTCCCTTCTATCAAATGAGACCAAGAAATCGAGAATACAACCATATGAGAATACACCGCAAATTCGCTGTTTTACACTAAAAACACAGTTGTGGTTTTTAATGTCTCATTATGCACTGCGTGCTGTAGGATTTTTTTTATACTGCACACACTGACCACGCAGACCCATTCTCTTATATGTACACCTACCAGCTTTCTCCCGCAAGACTGGAAGCTGCTAGAATTTTGGCGTAGTTTTATGGGACCGACCCTGGCTTCAAAGCTGTGATGTTAACCCCAAAAGGGTTAATAGTTCTTGTTCTTGCTTATTTCCTCATTTCTCCATAAGGAAGTGGAACAGAATTCTTCCTCCATAAGTCATGCATGTCATAAGAGGCGACTATACCTGCTATTCCTGTTCACCCAGCAGTAAGTAGGTACCTGGGTGTGGTCATCTTACACTTGCTCTTCATGTTCACCTAGCAGTAAGCAGGTACCTGAGTGTTAGTGGACTGGGGACAAAATTAACTTAAGTTGTGGGAAATGCTCTACATAACCAGGGTCTTTCTATATAGTATGTCATTTATGTCAGCTATGGTCTGTATAAGTTGTATTATGGACTTGTAGAAATAATTATTATTATATTATATTTTGCCTCTATGACCCGGCCATCTCCCACCAAGGCAGGGTGACCTAAAAAGAAAAGCAAAAGTTTTTCTTTTTAGCTTTAGTAATATATGCAGGAGAAGGGGTTACTAGCCCCTTGCTCCCGGCATGTTAGTTTTCTCTTACAACACGCATGGTTTACAGAGGAAGAATTCTGTTCCACTTCCCCATGGAGATAAGAGGAAATAAACAAGAACAAGAACTAGCAAGAAAATAGAAGAAAACCCAGAGGGGTGTGTGTAAATATGTGTGTACATGCACGTTTAGTGTATTATTATTATTATCAATAGTCGACTAGAGATAGTTAGAAATAATCAACTAGAGACAGCTGGAAATAATCAACTAGAGATAGTTGGAAATAGTCGACCAGAGATAGTCAGAAATAATCGACTAGAGATAGTCACAAATAGTCTACTAGAGATAGTCATAAATAGTCGACTAAATACGTACATGTATACAGCCTCTCCTCACTTAGTGACGTATTTATTTACCGACGACTCTGGCTTACAACAGGCTCTCTGACCAATATGCAGACCTAAATAATGTATATTAGAGCTGATTTCCTCTATTCTGTTCATTACAATATACAGTACACTACTGTATAAACATTTAAAAATACAGTGGACCCCCGGTTAACGATATTTTTTCACTCCAGAAGTATGTTCAGGTGCCAGTACTGACCGAATTTGTTCCCATAAGGAATACTGTGAAGTAGATTAGTCCATTTCAGACCCCCAAACATACACGTACAAACGCACTTACATAAATACACTTACATAATTGGTCGCATTCGGAGGTGATCGTTATGCGGGGGTCCACTGTATACCAGAAATGTTATAAATGGTGCAAAGGTGACATTAAAACAATATTAAAGATGGTTGACACAAACTCACTACCATTATAGTACATATGATCTTTGCTTAGTGAAGAATTAGTTTACCGACGTGATCTTAGGAATGGAATTCTGTCGTAAATTAACCCTTTGACTGTCACGACCCCAAATCCTGAAGTGTCTCCTGGTGCTGAAAAATTTTTGGAAAAAAAAAAAAAAAAAGATTTTTTC